CCTTCTCCTCCTCCTCCTCCTCCTCCTCCTCCTCCTCCTCCTCCTCCTACTCTTGGCCCGTTTGCCCCCAGTGCCTCCCTCCTCGCCGCACAAGGTCGTCCTCCTTGTCCCCCCCCCTGCTGTTCCTGCTGCACCTCCTCCGGCTGGTCTTCATGCTCGTCCGAGCTCGAACTTCCCACTCCAGTCGCCGTTCCCCTGGCCATTCCCCCTGGCCGTTCCTCACAGCCATTCCTGCTGCCCCCCCCCCGCGGCCGTTCCCCGCATGCAGGGGCGGCTGAGATCTGCTCGATCGGACCCGGACTGAGGAAGGAGGACGGCGAGGACTTTTGGAGCTCCGCGCACAGCTCCTGCAGAGTGCCGAGGGCACACGCGCGGCAGCTGGGAGGCGGCGCAGCGCGCTGTCAAGCAAAGCGGGGTCACGTCGCGATGACGTCGGCGTTGCTCTCTGACCCCGCGTGGGCTTGAAGAACCGCGGCTTTTCGATATCGCGAACTGCTCGACATCGGCCGATCCTGGGTCACTGGCGGCGTTCATTCTTGAACTACCGCGGTAGAGCTGGCCGAGCCAAAGCGCCGCGAACCCACCGCAGGAGGAGGAGGAGGAGGAGGAGGAGGAGGAGGAGGAGGAGCGGGAGAGACCCCCTGAGCCCTCGGCGGCGGCGGAGCCCGATTTCGGCTCCAGCCAGCCCGCGCGCGCGCGGGGCTGGTCGTCCTCGCGCCTTCCCCTCGTGGCCGCCGCCCTCGCCGCCGTTTTTCCCAGACCTCTGGCGTCGTGCTTGGCCTTGTTCCGCTGGCCTTCGGCCGGGCATGTCCCCCTACTGGAGGATTTTGGACGAAAAATTAAAAACTTGTTAAACATAGAACAAAATAGTCAAACAATACTCGAAAAATCGTCCCTAGACTATTTTTGACTATTTTTGAATATTCCTCCTGTAGAGGGACAAGCCCGACTTAACGCTGGCCCCCAGGAGCTCTCGAGCCCGTCCCCAGGACTGGCGCCCGCGCCGCCGGGGGAATTCTCTGCGAGGGCCTCCTCGGGGCCAGAAAAGCGGGCCTCTGTAGCCAGGAGCACCTCCGCCTGGTTTCGCGACGCCTGGAGGTCTGGGCTGCATCGGGTCCGACGAGCGGGAGCAGATGAAGAAAACATTGCAAAGCCGTTTCGAAGCGTTTCGAGCGGGGCGCGGCCCACAAGAGTGGCAAAGGATGGACCGAGGAGGCAAGGATGCAAGGGTACCCTTGGGAAGGCTGCCCATCCTTACTATGCGGGTTGACTATAAGCATGAACTGTTAACGGTCCGCGCGGATTTCTTGGAACGGCGCTGGCACCCCCTCCCCAGCGCGCGGAGCGCGCCAGGGGCGGCGCCAGAGGCGCCGCCAGGGGGCCACAGCGAAGAAGACAAATCCAGGACGGGGAAAACATCGGTTGAGCAGAAATCCAGGCGCCGCTTCATAAAGGAACAATGCAGAAAAAGGGGAAGACAACAGGCGCACCTCTCGGGCCGTCAAGGTCCCCCTCTGGGGCCCTTGAGGGCCCCTTTAGGAGCCCTGAAGGGTGCCTTTTCTGCAGCCCTCGCTGCCCCCCCATTCTATATCGCGTCCCATATCGCCGCCGGATAAATCGAGACTCTCTGAGATCCGGCGGCTCTGGAGGATGCATCGGGCGTCGCCGCCTTCTCAAAGCGTTCCGGAACGCACTGACGCTCTGAGCACGTTCCGGAACGCTCTGGCACGGACTTCTTCTCGCCCTAGCCCCGCCCGACCATTCCCCATCACCCCCTTTCGTCCGACCAATTGTCAACAACGGCGACGGCGGCGGCGAGGTAGGATGTAGGAAGTTCGCATGGAGAGCAGAACAAAAAACCTCATCATCAGTACCCCGACAAGCAAAGGCGCTTAGCAAACGCGCGCAAGGAAGGAATCTAACAAGGCAGGGCTGCTTAGCAAACGCTCAGTTCCGTTGATCGGCTACACGCAGGGAGTGACCCTAAGTAAGAATGACCTTTGATGTACGGCTTTTTGGGAGCCGCGGGGGGACAAGACACAAGCGCGAAAGACGCTACTACTGTCGCAGCGCGTTTGGAGATCGGGGGGGCCCAATGGGCCCGCACCAAGCGTCACTCTAGCGAACGGTCACGCTTACGTGTAGTCGGGCATGTCCTCAGGCGGAATTTGGAAGAAAAATGAACAATAATAAGAAAGTACTTGAACATAGCGAAAAAACTAGTCGATAAATCATCCCCGTGACATGTTTTGACTATTTTTGAATATTCCTCCTGAGGAGGGACATGCCCGCCTTAACACCAATGATGAGTCGGATCGGCGGTCGAAATGAATCGGATCGGCGGGAATCGGCAGCCGAGTCGGGAAAAGCCGAGCTGGCGGAAATCGGCAGGCTCCTTGGCCTCCAACAAGGAATCGGAGCCCGCGTCGGCATCCCAAACCGAACCGAATCGACATCGGAGGCCATCGAGGCCGAATCGACTCGAATCGGAGGCATCGAAACGAGCCCTGAATGCTGGGTGGCTTCTCCTCTGAAGGGGCCCCAGGACACACAAATAAATACACACAAGTAAAAAGATCACCCATATTTTCCCATATTTCCTGGGTTTCTGTCTTCCCCCACACTTCCCATGTTTTCCCATATTTCCTGGGAATCGACGATTCATTGTGTCTGTGTGTTTTTTCCCCCCCTGATCCTCTCTTGATCGCAGGGGGGGCGCGTCAGGGCCCCGGCGGCCCCGCGCCGGCGCCCCCGGCGAGCCCGGCCAGCCTCTGGTGCTCCTGGTCCCGGCGGCGCACAGAAGGGCGGCAGCGGCCCCACCGCCCCCGCCAGAGCGCCCACAGGCACGCCAGAGCGCCCCCAACAGCATCCTCAAGCCTCGAGCCTCGAGCCTCGAGCCTCGATGCTCGAGCCTCGAGCCTCGAGCCTCCAGCCTCGAGCCTCGATCCTCGAGCCTCGAGCCTCGATCCTCGAGCCTCGAGCCTCGAGCCTCGAACCTCGATCCTCGATCCTCGAGCCTCGATCCTGCAGAAGGCATGGTTGCCTGTGGCTCGGGCGCGCCGCAGGGGGGCGGGTGGGAGGCCACATCGTGGCCCGAGGCATCTGCGCGGACGGGTGGGGGCCAGGAAATTCGCCGGCCCAACGGACCAGCCGGCGCGCTGCGATCTCCGGTCACTGCGAACAAACTTTCTACTTCGCGCGCGCGGAGCCGCCCCTGGGGATCTCCGGACGAAAAATACCCCGGGCGGTCCCCGGCCAGTTCGGGTCCGAGATCCCCGGTCAGGTCGGGTCGGGTGGGCGCCGCCCTCGAGGCCCTCCAGAAAGCCCCACGAAGGGCCAAGAGGCCCCCAAGAGGCCCCCAAGATGCCACAAGATCGCCCCAAGATGCTCAAGATTGCCCCCAGACGCCCCAAGAGGCTTCCAAAAGTACTCCCAAGAGGGCTCCAAGAGGTAAAATGAATTGATTTCCCTGAGGTTTTGGACAGATTTGGGCGTTTCCCTCTTTTCGGTTTCCCGACGCCTCAAGACGGCCCAAGAGGTCCCCAAGATCGCCCCAAGAGGGTCCAAGAGGGCCCCAAGAGAGCGCCAAGACGGCCCAAGGGGGCTCCAGGACCGCCCAAGACGACTCCAAGACGGCCCAAGAAGGCCCGAAGAACGCCGCAAGAGAGGCCCCAGAGAGGAAAACACGAAACAACATTTCGAGCCCTCGGCCATAAGCTGCCCCCAGGAGGTCCCCAGAGGTCCCCAAGAGGCCCCAAGAGGCCCCCAACAGGCGGTCAGGAGGCCGCCAAGAGGCCCCCAAGAGCCCTAAACAGGATCCAGGTTAAGACGTTCCCAAGAGCTCCCTGTGCACTGCCTCCCGGTGCGTGAAAATGAATGGTGGAATGAGCGAAGCGATTGAATAACAGGGGATATGTCGCCCCCTGTCCCAGGCTTCGTGGGGCCCAACTCGGGGATATTGGACTGGCGGGCGTCCATCCTCGAGAGGGGTGCGTCCGAACAGCCCCTTTGGGGCGTATCCCAGGGTACCCCCCTCATTCTGAACGGCCAGAGTTTTCGGGCGGATTTCGGGGATTGGCGGCTGCGAGATCAAGAGGCAAATCCTGGGAGGCCATCGTAAGAACGATCAAGGGCCACCACGCCCGAGTAAGGGGGGCCATTCAGCCAGATTAAGTTGGATTGATCCCAGGAGTAAGTCCGACTCAGCCGGATGAAATGGGATGCTGCGGCACCCTCCCGCTCAATCCACGCCGACACAGGAAATCAGCGCAGACCCCCGAAAGTCTCCGTTTAGACGGATTGGTCTTCTCCGAACAACTACCTTGCTATCCATCGAGCAGCACAGCGGCAGCAAGGGTTTAGGCACAATTCTCCATTGATGTTCTGTCGTGATACATGCGTTCCGTCAATCGCGCGACTTGGCTGATCTGTATCTACACGGAGGAGCTCGGCGGACAGTTGCCTGCAACCCGTCAGTAGGAATTCTCCCTGCGGTTCGGATGTGATGCGCGCATCGGTGTCACCGATTTTCCATGGCCCACACAAATAGAATGCACGTAAACTTCCAGAGGTCCGCGCGGAGCGCGCCAGGGGCGGCGCCGGAGGCGCCGCCACGGGGTCCCAGCGCCGGTCCATGACATCCGAAAAGGTGTGTTGACGGTCGGTGGCTTCCTTCGAACTGAGCGGTGCGGGGGCCCCGCCGCGTGGTGGGTCAGTGGGCAGCCGGGGCGACCGCACGGCTCTGGGACTCGGGTCGTTCTCCGAGGATGCCTCGCGCGAGGGGGGCCTGCCAGGGTCCCAGAAAGCCGTGTGGTGCCGGACCGTGCGGTGAGGCCTCTGCGGATTTTTCGGGATCACCGCACGGCCCGCCTGGAGAAACAGAGGCCGGCGTAAGCATAACTTCCGGGAGGTCCGCAAGGATTCCCTGGATCGGCACCGGACTCCCTCCCCGGCGCACGGAACGCACCAAGGGCGGCGCCAGGGGGGGGCCAACGCTGGTCCAAGACATCCGCGCGGGCCTCCGAGAAATGTCCCCTGTGCCTGCCCGTAGGGGTTCTCGCTTGTCTTCGAAGGAACTGGGTTCGTTTTTGGGGTCTTTTCCGCCTTGTTTCCCCCCGTCGCTCGCCGCCCTGTTGCCGCCTCGTCGCCGCCCGTCGTCGGGGCTCGTTCGTCGGGTCCGCCCGCCCCGTTGCCGCCCCGTCGCCGCCCCCTCGCCGCCCGTGGCCTGGGTTCGTTCGTCGGGTCCGCCGCCCTGTCGCCGCCCCGTCGCCGTCCCATCGCCGCCCGTCGTCTGGGCTCGCTCGTCGGGTCCGCCGTTCTGTTACCGCCCCGTCGCCGCCGCGTCGCCGCCTCGTCGCCGCCACGTAGGTTGGACCACATAGATTCTCCGATCTGGGAAAAAAATTGGATCTTCCCCCCCCCCCCTCGGGGTTATCCGTCCCACTTTTCGTATTGCAATTTACATACGATTTTGCCCCATCGTCTATCCTAAAGGTGAGCTCGGACCATCCCAAGCAGGCTTATAGCGACACCCCCTCCCATCCTCTGCAAATCAATCATATGCGCGCACACTCGTTCATCACAAATCATCAATGTTCAAGAACCCCTTGCAAAAAATGACGAAGTGCACGCGCGCGCGCGTCGTCGCGAACGCATGCCGAAATCTTTCAAAGCTCGGACGGTCTGTAAAATGTCAAAATCGAATGTCCAGAAACCTATATATATAGAAACATAAACACAAGGCCTCGCAACATGGATGTTCAAAGAATACATGCGCGGGCTGTGTTGCGATTGTTTGTCATATTTTGTATTGGTTGTTAGCAACATGGCATTTCAAAGTTTTCATGACATGCTACCAAACGGGCTTCACGCGCGCGCATGTCGAAATCGTTCGAGCCTTCTGGCGCGGTCGCGAAATATCCGTTCGAAAAACGAGAGAAGAGTACGCGCGCGCGTCGTCGCGCGCGCATGCTGGAATCCTTCAACATGGTCGACCCACGAACCCGGAAAGGAATATAGAAATGTAAGGCATTGCAACATTCCAAAGACACCTGATTGGGCGACGGGCACATGCAATGCTGAATGTATCGATGATGATGTACTGTGCCGAGGGCTGTGCTGTGCTACGCCGTGCTGAACTGCGATGTGCCATGCCGCGATTGTGCTCTATATAGCGTTGTGGATCGAGTCCTCCCTGGCATCCGAGTCCTCACCGAACTGATCTGGAGCGTAAGCTCGAGCTGCCTGAGCAGATGGTAGCTGCCCCAGAACTAATTGACAGAGGGAACATGCCAGGAGGACGCGCCGCGGAACGTCCCAAGGGACGCGCCAGGCGACGTGCCAGGGGACGTGCCATGGGCACGCACCGCGGGACGTGCCAAAGGGACGCGCTACGGAACGTGCCAATGGACGTGCACCGCGCGACGTGCCAGGGGGACTGCCACGGGACGCTCCGCGGAACGTGCCAGGCAACATGCCAGGCTGCAATGCTAAGGGTATCGATATTGATGTACCGTGCCGAGGGCTGTGCTGTGCCTGGGCGACCTGGACACGTGAAAACACGCGTTTCGCTCAAGACGTTGTCAGCACATCCTCATGCTAGACATCCGCCTGGGCAACCTGGACACGTGCAAACAAGCATCTCGCTCGAGACATCCTCAACAAATGCTCATGCTAGACATCCGCCTGGGCGACCTGGACACATGAAAACAAGCCTCTGGTTCGAGACATCCTCAACAAATCCTCATGCTAGACATCTGTCTGGGCCACCTGGAGGCGTGAAACCAAGCGTCTCGCTCGAGACATCCTCAAGACCTTGGCACGTGAAAACAAGCAATCCACTTGAGAGATCCTCAGAATTCAGGTCCCCAGGAGAGGACAATCTATAACACAAAACAAGCGTTTCGCTCGAGACATCCTCAACAAATTCTAAAAAAAAGCGTTTCGCTCGAGACATCCTCAAATCTTAATTCGCCGGCCCTACGCGACCTCGTTCCTGATCGCAAAAGAAATTCGCCGGCCCTACAGCCGTCAGATCCGGGGGTAAACCTCTAAAAGAGAACCCTGGGCCGACGCCCTTTCCGGGAAAAACTCGAGGTGTCGCAACAATTTCAAAATCGAGCGTCCTGAATCCCTATATAATGCGGTTTCGCAACACCAGTCGTCAAAAGAACCTGCGCTCGGGCGCTGGCGAATCTTTAAAACCTGGGGTTGTTCAGCATGTTCATCGAATTTGGTAATGGAAGTCCTGACCGAGAGCGGCATGGGTTAGTGGTGGTTGGGGCGTGGACCTGCTGGAACCACTGTCCCTCGTAAACAATTGGGTATTGGAACCGACGCCGCGGGCTGCTGGAATCGCCTTCCCTCGTAGACAATGAGGTGCTGGAGCCCATCTGTCTTGTAGGCATGAGCTGCTGGAACTACTGTCCCTCGTAAGCAAGTGTGTGCTGGAGCCGACGCCGTGGGCTGCTGGAGCCACCTTCCCTCGTAGAGAATGAGTGCTGGAGCCGATGTGGCTTACAGGCATGGCGCGCTGGAACCACACCCCGCTAGGGTTATGAAAATATAGATAAGGTGGGGGCCCTAGAATTGTAGTCATGCCTCGCCCCCAAATGGGGGCAGTCTGCGCGCGCTCGTGCGCGTGCAGTTGATCGGTCGGTCGGTCGGTCGGTGTGGTCGTCGTTGGCCGTCGTCGTCTCGGTCGGTCGGTCGGTCGGTCGGTCCGTCGGTCGGTCAGTCGTCGTCGTCGGTCGTCGTCGTTTC